AGTCAGTCAGTCAGTCAGTCAGTCAGTCAGTCAGTCAGTCAGTCAGTCAGTCAGTCAGTCAGTCAATTTCGACCGCCGCTTATGATTTTGGGTCGCAGAGGTAAACGCGTTAGACAGTGCCTTCGCGGTTGCAGTCCGGTGCCACCGTTTGAGCTTCAGCAGAAAATAACCCGAGTTTGGAGAAGACTGTTTCCAGACGATTATCCCAGGTAGTTCTTGGCCATATGCGGAGTGTTGGGCCAGTTTGTTTGGTAAGTAGTAGCCATTTCGCCTTTCTCTCTGAGAGCATTCTTAAGGCGTATCCGACCCATCGCAGTTACGAAATCTCAGTTAGGAGAAACAGCAGCTGTACACCAAAGCTTCATCAGATATCTGAACTCCGGATGATGTCAAAACGCGTGGCTAAAGCAATTCGTCTTATAAAGCGCATTTCAGACGTTCGTAACAAGGACCGAATTTTTTTAGTCATGCTGCACGACTCATGACCGTGGGTAAATATACGGATAAAGATCAGCTTGAACACCGACAGCTTTAATCTTAAGACTCACCTTCCTTTTAATCACAGTGGTTTGGGCCAGTTCACGCAGAACGCCACTGGCTACCCCAATTCGCCGGTCGATCTCTTCCTCAGATTTTCCATCACTAGTAAATACGACTCTGAGGTACTTATACTTTCCCACCTGCTCCACTGCTTCTTTGTTGATCTGAAGAGAGCAAAGGAGAAAAAAGACCAAAACATTAAGCTTTTCATTTTAGATACATTCATACGCATGCCGGCCACATCACACTCGGGTGTGAACCTTTCCGGTGAGTGCTGGAAAGCAATTTCAGAAGATGCCAACAAACAAGAACGTCTGCAAACAGCAACCCTCTCATCTTGCCCTCTCCTACGACGACTAACACTCATCGCCTTGGGCTTGTTACAGACCGGGCCCAACGCTGAAAGGTGTTGAATTCTTGCTAGATGGCTCGTAAGAATTCGTAACTCCACTGATCCCATGTGTCTACACATACGTCCATAGGGTACTGTATGGGATCCGGTCATAGGATTGCTACAAGTCAACAAAGCACGTGCAAACCTCATTAGCGAACTCCCACGATTTCTTCAAGATGTGGCGCATGTCGAAGATCTCATCAGAGGTGCTACACCGCTCTTCTAGTATCTGACTCAGTTATTCGGTGGACCCTTCTTTTTAGCACTTTTGCGCAGACTTCACCGGGAGAATCAATAAGTTAATGTCCCGATGATTAGAACAACCCTTATGATCTCCCTTCCTGAACAGGTAGACATCCGTTGTCTTTTCCGCAGCCATTGCAGTTTCGTTTTGGCCACGGCATGCCTTGTTCGCCTAACGCTTTAAACATTTCAAGGTAGATTCCATTAATTCCAGTCGCACTGCCACTTATAAAACTTTCAAGAGCTTGTGTGATTTCATCTACAGAAAGAGTAATATCCTTTCTCTGCTGCTCTACAGGCGGTTGCTCAGAATTAGGGAGTTCTTCAAAGTTCTGTTTTCATCAGCGAAAGAACTCAGAAAGAACCCTTAACATTTATTTACCTAATTACAGATGTCAGAAATATTTTCAGTGCTGAAAACTGTTTCTAAGCAAATATAAAATAATATTTAATTGGTGCCATCAAACTAGGAAAACTTATACGGCATCAGTTGCAGATAGCCAAAAAAGAAATTACCTTAGACTACGTAATTAAAAACTGCCGGAAGCAAGTTACAAGCGGATTCTTTGTTTATTTAAAAAACGGGGTACGTACCGCCTCCCTTTCGCTGTGTTCGTCAGCGTCGGTCATTTGAGCAAATACTGACATGTCGGTGGGTACGGAGAGCTTTCGTTCCGTATACCAGTTCATTCCTTCGTCATCAATCACCGTCAGGTAGCACTGTAGCGGATCCTCCTTGATCTTGGCCACCACCTGTTTGTGCGGCTCCTGCTTAATGGACATGCCATTTACGGCCAAGATGCGATCACCCGGCTTCAGGCCAGCCGTTTCGGCTGGACTTTCCGGATCAACGCTGCCAATGTACTGGCGTTTGCCAATTTCGGCATGGAGGTTAAATCCGTACTCCTGCTCTGGATAAGTTTTGATGATGTGGCACTCCCGCGGGCGCGGGGCGTCTGCTGGCAAAGGCGGCATCTCTGAAAGCAAACACGACAGTTTATGCGTTAGCAATAGTAAAATTCGTATTAATCGACAGCAGAAGTAAAATGACAAAATTTTTAGTAACACGTATTAAAAATGGGGCCAAAGCAGGCTGGGGGCGAAGGGCGAAAATAGATGAACGTTGCAACGCTTCCCAGGGTAAAAATGAGCAGTTCGAGTTTGCCTTCAAGAACATGCCTTCGTTAGTAGCAAACCAGCTGAAAGCCACTGAAAAGCGTGGAAGCACTTGAAACAAGGGGACAATAAACTGTACTATCAAAATCGCGCAGCAATCAACGGCGACGACGAACGCGACGCAGACCATGGATGAAAACAGTACAGAGCAGAAGCGATACTTATCGTCGTCGTCGTCGTCGTCTTGGTTTAGTGACACACGCATAGATCACAGGCATACGCGGATGGACGACGACAACGAACAGACACGACAACACGTTCACACCGCACCGCACCGTGCCGAATCGACTTGCGCCACATCAACAAACGACAACGACATCGTAATACGGCAGAACAGGGCAATGAAGTGAGGAGCCTGTTGAATGTCAACAAGATATCGCAAACTGTTGTCCCCTCTCTACTAATTTAAGCCTTGGTCTTAGACTTCACTCAAACAGACATGACATCCATAATGTGTTGAACAGATGCAGCCGACCTGGCCAAACCAGGTATTGAGAGCACTTCAAAATGCCGTCAGTCGACGTCAGCCACGTCTCAGAGCACCGCCTTCGCATGACCTTTGGAAAACAGGAAAACGAAAACCCGCCGAATGCATTTTGTACAACTTCGCCAACCAGTAACTCGAATGACGCGTGCCAAGATTTCTGCGCGAGGTACAATACCGT